CCAATTACAATTGTTTCCTAATTTCAGAAATTTCATTTATTATTTTATAGGAAATGCTATCCATTTTTATTGGTGTGGATGACAAATGTTGACTCTGAGTCACACCAATTACAGTTGTTTCCTAATTTCAGAAATTTCATTTCTTATTATTTTATAGGAAATGCTATCCATTTTTTGGGGTGTCCCAAATCTTACTAAATACACCTAAAGCCGACTTTCAGTGGATGTAAAGCTTAGTTCGGACCACCACTAAGGTTTTCCCCGTACACACTACGTGGACCTCACAGCAGGCCAGCAACATCTGTAATGACAAGCGAGGTCAAGCCTCAGCGCTGCCTGAAAGCTTTGAACTCTGACCTCGGTGGCTTTATGCCGAGCCTCTGGGGGTGTTTCACCATTGCCGTCTGAAGCTGATATTTCCCACCCGCCGACAAAGGCCAGGAAAAGACAACACAAGCAGCCGGGGGTCCCCAGACGGGAGCGTCGGACCATCCTGGCACTAAATGGACCGGCACAGTTGCTGGGCCTTTCATTGTGTGCGTGTAAAAGCAAGGGACATGTTGCCTAGTAAAAGTGTCAGGGCCCCACTGAAGGGCCTTTGTATCGCTTTCCAGTAGTCACCGTGCGCCTTTTGTCACCCATGTTGTTCACCATTAGCATCTCAATATTCAAAGGGGGATGACGGCGGGCAGAGGTGGCAGCCTTTTTAGCCTTGAGTGCACCCTCGTGCTATGACTCTCTGAGGAAGCAGCTGGTGACTCAAGATGGCCGCCGAAAAGGCTTGACAGAGCGGACTTCAAAGTAGCGTAGCATTAGCTTACAGCCGAGGTGGTGTGTCATTTCAAGAGTGTGTATCTGATACGTTAGATGAGTACGTAAGAAGTAGCTCTCGGCGTCAAAAAGGTTGGTGACCCATGACATAGGGCGTCCTTATTTTATTTATTTTTTTTACAGTTCACATGACACATTTTCACTGTATCCTGTACTTGCTCTACTATTTACCTTGAACTATATGTCCAAAATGACTACCGCAAAGGCTCATTAAAACAACAAAACGTGTGCCCATCACTGTACTTCTGACCTATTTAATCTCCTCTGGTGAAAAACAAAACAGGGCCCGAGATGCCGACACCACCCCGCCAAGCGCCTTTGCTTGACTCATGCCATATGACTATCCAGGCCGGGCCGGACCGTCAGGCAGTTAAAACTGTGTATGCTTTTGTGTGTGTGTGTGTGTGTGTGTGTGTGTGTGTATGTGTGTGTGTGTGTGGGTTGGTGGTACAGGAGTGTCGGTTGCTGCAAGGGCCAAGCGGGAAAGCGGTTGGGCAGTTTAGCCAGCTGCCGGGGGAGCACAGCAGCGCCGCCCGGGCCGGTCAGTGAAACCTCGCCAGATGGAGCCGTTTTCCAAACAATGAGAGCAGATAGGAACTTCATCTACAGTAGATGACCGCGAGCCTGGTCATGACTTGTTGGTTTGGATCAGAACTCCCCAAAAAATTCCCGGAATAAACATTGGCCGCCATCTCTGAGACAATGATATCATTTTTAATGGCGGCATTCCCGCTGCTTTGCACACACTGGCTGTCTGCTCCATGTGCAACAGGCCGAGGTGTCTTGGGACCACTTTGCTTGGGAGTAACCAAGCCTGGCTAATGAAGCGTGTGATTGGTCCCCTCCCTCACGGACAAGGCCCTTCTTTTTTTTTTTTTTTTTTTCGGGGTGGGGGACATGATGGATCGTGACAGCAGCACAATAGCGGCCTGGTGTCAGGACGGTGGCATGGGTGCGCTGAGCACCCCCGCTGCAATACTCGCTCACCCACCTCTTTGCTCGCTTCTGTTCAAGTTGTATTTTTTGCAGAGTTTTTTTGACACACATTCTCGAGTCACCTGTGTATGCACTCCACACACAAGGTACATTTTGCGTTTCACTCAACATACATTATATTCATACAGGTCAATACAGTATCTATATTCTATATTTATGAACAGTGACTCATACTGTTTCTTTTAATATAATCACTCATCCATGCATTTTCTGAACCACTTATCCTAAGGGTTGCAGGTGTGCTGGACCCTCTCCCAGTTGTCGTTGTGTGGTAGGTGGGATACACCCTCAACTGGTTGCTAGCCAATCGCAGGGCATGCATAGACAAACAACCTCTCACGCTCACAGTCACACCTGTGGACAATTTGGAGTGTCGAATCAATTTGCCATGCACTTATTGGGAATGTGGGGGGGAAATGGGAATACCCGGAGAAAACCCACTCAGGCAAACTCCACACAGGAAGGATACAAACCCATGACCTCTGCACGGTGAGCTGGACGTGCTAACCAGTCAACCACCACCTATAATAATTCAATGAATTGCTGTTTTTGTTTTTAATGTAGAAAAATACTTGCATATTGAAAGTCAGAGAAATGGTTCACCAGAAACTGAATCAAGCTCCTCCCATGTCTATTTCAGTCACCAGACCTCAACCCCAATGTAATGAATGGCAATTTTTGAAGAAAAAAAAATATTTAAATCACCATAACCCAAATAGAAAAAATAACCAACACCACTAGGAATGCCTGCTTGTCGCTGACAACAACAACATACCCCACTGGGCATCTTTTGTTTCCTTTCCTAATGCACTTGCCTACTTTAGTGCAGTTCACCACCATTACAAACAACAAGCTTCAATGAATGCCTCCGTCAGCATTGTCTTTTTCAGGATAGAAATTTTCCATAAGAAACCACACCAAATATTTGTGCTGCACCTCAGAGGGGCTCCAATCGTGCCGTTTTTATTTGTTCTTTTGAAGCGGCCCTTGAAGAAACAGGCTCGAGGGTCAAAAAAATCAAGCAGCGAGAGCACTGTGAAATATGCCAGAGGACAAGAGCCTCGCTGGAAGACCGTCGGGGGGCGGCTCGCAGCTGCTTGCTTTCTCGAGTGGGACCTCAGCTGTGTGGCCATCTTTGGCAATTAGGTGCGATGATGCTTCAGGTTTGGGAAGAGGGGGAAAAGCATCATCATATTCATTGGAAAAAAAATGGTTGTAAATGAGAAGATGATACCACAGCATGCTGTAGGTTAATATACTTGTAAAATATATAATACATGGAAAACATGTCTTCCCCCCCCCTCAATGACATCACAGGTAAACAAGAATCAAAATGAACAAAACAAATAAATATTTTACCATCAACCATTATTTTACCCCAAGTCGAAATAAGTTTCAGTGCTGTCGAGATGTGATGAGTTCTCACAAGATTTGCATAAATTTTGCGCAAAGCTTTTATAGTTCAAAGGTTAGCCCCCCCACTCCCAGCAAAAATAAAAAACATGAAAAATAACAGTGACTTATTATTTGTTTTGTAAACTTTAAGTGCTGTAAATGTTAAGGTTAGTAAAGTAAAGCACATAAAAAAACTTCCAACATTCCATGAACGATATTTTCAACATGTTCTAGCAATTTTCTGACCCGCATGCATGGAGGTGCTAGGTCATAAGATGCTGCCACCCCCCCGGCCCCCTGCCTCACTGTCCTCCCCTGTTGTTGTGCTACACTGTGTTGTGCCTTCTAAGCTCCTTTGACGCTGTGGCAAGCTTTAGCCTGCCCGTTACTGTGTGCGCCTCCTTACAGATTTACAAACCTTAATCTGCGCAGAGATGCACACTGACTTGTTGACGGGAGATTAGCGCCAATACCGTAGAAAATAAAAACACACTAGGAAAAAAGAAACAAAAACAAACCTGCACCAATTCGAATCACAGGCATTGTGGTACTAGGAACCAGAAGATTTCTTTTAATGATGCAGGCTAATTGGCCCCAAAGGCGATAGGTCTAATTGGAGTCAAATTGAATCAAGGCTGTATGTATGGAGCAGTGTGCTGATAATTGCCACATTGTCAATTGGGGACGGCGACATGGCACTCAGCCAAGAAGGAGGGCATGTGCATGACTCAACTGGCTTCGTGCCGACAAAGGGTTACAAATCTATGATGGAGTGCTCAGGGGAAAAAAAAATAAAATAAAAATTATCCAAAAAAGGAAATGATGGAAACTGTTGCAGGAAGTTCACTCTTATACAGTCAACCATCATTTTCTTTTGTCCTAATCCCAGCTGTCTTTGGGCGAGAGGTTGGTGCACCCTGGACTGGTCGCCAGCCCATCTCAGATAGAGGCATGCGACCTGAAGGCACTCGACTTCATGGTCATACTTTTTGACATCACTAGCTGTCAGAAAAATGAAAGAATATGTTCATTGCTCTATAGTACAACTTCACTTATACATTCATATAGCACTTGTCCTTATTATTGTTATGGCTGCGGATGAGCTGGAGGAACATTCTACTCTGATTTAGAGAGTGAACGCACCACAATCATCTTAAGTATCAACTTAAAATGAGTCAAACTTAAAATAAAAAAATAGTAGGCCTGTAATACACAATTTTAAGTATCATATTATCAAAAACAATGTAAATGTATCTCACACATTAAAATGTTGAATATAAGAGGTGAATATGTTGCGGCACAGGAGAACTGTATCACTACAATAAAACTGAACTTCTCTCACTTACAAATGGAATCGTACAACTACAATTATCCTAAATGCATTAAATTGTATGTATATATATATATATATATATATATATATATATATATATATAATGTATTTATATGTGCACGTCACACATTTAGCCCTTTATAGTTGGATAAAAGAATTTTCAGGCATTTTTTTGAAGTATATAACTCTGTGTGGTGCACAAAACAATTAAATGATGCACCATCAATGTCCTCCTGCAACTTGGCCTATTGTGGGGCCTGAAAAGACAGACACGTGCATCTCAGCATCTATATAAAGGGGGGGGGGCATAAATCTGTTTATACAATGCAATGTCCTCTAAAAGTGTGTGTGGGGGTGTGTGTGAGTGTGTGTTTGTGTGTGTGTGTGGGGGGGGCTTATATTCAGGACCGTGGACAGTTACATCCCACCCTAGTTTAGTCCAGATCAGCTGACCGCACACGAGTACCGCCCTCCTCCTCCTCCTTCCTCCGAAGCATCATCTACTGCTACACGGAAGCAACACATGCACATTTGCTGACTTCTCCCTCTTCTGGGTGACAACACACGGGAGACACCTGCACTTTTGTTTTGTTTTGTTTTTTCCTTTTTTTTATGTATGTGTGTTTGTGTTAAACAAACCAAGTGCATCGCATTTTTTGGGTGGGGAGGAGGAGGATATAGCAACAGAAGTGCAAAATGTTGCTCGAACACCCGGGATCAAGTTGTCAGAATAACGCCAATTTTCCCCGCTACAGCGCAGGCCAAGGTAAGAGTCTTATCACAAATAATTATTATCATTATTTTGATTGATTAATCTATGGTGGTTTTTCATCTGCACTGACAAAGATCAAAAATGCTCGCTTTTGATTGATTTGATTTCTTTGGGTGGTTGTAGAAGTGATGAAAGCTGCTGCTTAAAAAAAAAACGATATGAGAGTGCAGTCAAAAAGTGCGTGTTTGTTTGTCAGCAACTTTTCACTTAAAAAACGACTTCGCAGTTTTGCAAGAATCTCAAAGTGTGAGAGGAGTGCTGAAGCAAAAAAAAAACGTCTGGCGGTTAAATTGGGAAGATTATCCTGCTATTTCTGAAGCGAACGTTGATTGAATAGGAATGAAAGGTGTTGAACTTCGAAGATGTTCAATGTCAGTCATGTCACGCTGCACGTGAAGCCTTTTGCGGACATTTCTAACTTTCCGTTTCACCAGAGTTCCTGAACGCATCACGAGGATGAAAAATTCTTTTTCGTGAAAAACCAAAACTGCACCAACATCTCTTTTCCATGTGTTGTAGGCATTCTACCCTGCACATGCGCACTCTTGTCACGTTTGGGTGCGCTGCGTGCGTGCGGGAGACGTTACGAATGCGTAATGAGCTCCCATTGTCGCGCAAATGGCCGCAACAGATGTTATGCGCGTTCTGTCATTCCGCAAGCGCTGCCGCCGTCATGTTGTTGTCACGAGAACGCCCCCCTCACCCCCCACCGAACCCCCAACACACAACTTGCACCGGAACGAAAAAAAAAGGTGCAAGTCTCAGCTACAGGCGACACAAAGGAAACTGCAACAGGTGTCACGTTCCCGCTGCCGTGCAGACAGGTGGGACAACCGAAGGGGTCGAAATTGCTTATGAAATGGTACTGCACTCCCCAAACGATGCAATCTTGAATTTTCCAAACAAAATTAATTTGTTAAACACACGCACACACACACACACACACAAATAATAAGCACAGCACTTTGTTGCATGAAATGAGTTGGTACTTAAACACATTACCACGCAACCGCAAATACGTAGAACGTTCAAAACAAAATACGATGACATTGAAATTTGTGAAACATAAAAAAATATATTTAAAAAGTAAAACAATTTGTCGTCTTCCAAAATTATTAAGTAAATATAACAAACAATAATAATGCCATGCAATATAGGAAAGATGATCTTAATCCACATTTAAAAACAAAGATGTTAATATGAATAACAAAACGATTTCAAAATCTGTTTTTAAATACTTGGTTTCCTCTAAACATAAACCGATTTAAACATCCTCGCACGCTTGCAGGCCAGGTGGGGGGAAAAAAGAAGGTTGGGATGAATTCTAAATAAAAACTATGAATTTCAAGTCCAACTTTCTTACACACCTCTACATATTTTACAATAATTTTCAACAATTTCAAAAATGATGAGAGTTGTGTTAAGGACAAAAATATTCACAGTGACACGCACACTCACAGAACCATAACAAAAGATTCATTTAAAAACTATTTCAATTTCAATTATATATTTTGTTAATTATTTTTAAACAGAAATATTAATATTAATCACATGGGCCTACGATCTGATAATGTAACATTTTTTTTAAATACCATTAATTTAATATGTTCTTCCCATATTTGTTTTAATAATTAAAGCGTACATGTAAAATGAGAGCAATTATTTCGTTTTTGTTCATATTTTTATGTGATTGTAACACGTTATTTTAAGCCCGTAAAACAGGACAGAGCAACTTTTTTTTCTACCGTGCTCAATTTACATTTTTTTATACATGGCACATACTAAATTAATGCTAGAGGTATCGTCTCATAAATTATTATTGGGAGCAATCATCCTTTCCATTTTCGGGGTTTCTACGTGGCTTTATTTGATTTTCAGGGAGGCCCTTGCTGCAAAATAAATACATAAATAAAATGAACAATCCACAGTCGATTACGAACGAAAAATGTCCAACGCTGCAAAAAAAAAAAAAAAAAAAACCTCGAAAATAAACAAATTTGCCCTCGTTCACATATAAGCACAGCGTCCGAAATGTGGACAAATGGCGCAATTGATTTTCGATTCCTCAGCACGCCTGCACTCCGCCTGATTTCCCCAGGCGCCATTTTGTGCCAAAGATGAGCTTCAATAAAATTCATTGGGGTGCTGGCCCGCTCAACATTGCTATTGAACATTACGCATCGGCCCTAAATAAACACCAGTCTCGCAGGACTCCACAACAAGCGACGGGAAAGACTCGAGGGAGTGAGAACTAAGTCAAATTCTTTTTTTTTTTCCTTTTAATGTTGACTGGAAAACGTTTGTATGACATTTTATACAGACGTGCATATTAATTGTCAAAGACGTTCATTTTTGATACAATGCTTCATCGGGCTTGATACTTCCCGGTACGAAATATTACATGCTAATTATTGAATAGATACTGCCAACTATCTTAATTTAATTTACAAACAAAGCTACAGCCGTTTTTCTTTTTTTTTTTTGTTTTTCAAGGCTTTTTCTTTTTTTTTTTTTTTTGCATGAAAAATCGTGTCATCGTCATCCATTAAGATAATTTACAAACTTTTTTTTTTTTGCATGAAAAATCGTGTCATCGTAATCCATTAAGATAATTTACAAAAAAAGTGTTTTCCACTAAATGAATTCGACTCATTTTCCACGTAATTCATTTCAAACCTCAACTATTTACCCCGGGTAGATCATTCCAAAATGCAGTATTAGGTACAGTAGAGTTGTGACATTTGCGCTGCAGGTGTGAATATACCGTTAGGCTACGATCTGAACACACCTGAAATATGATGTTACTATATAGACAATGATGTTAAAAAAAGGGAGCAAAATATTACGAACTGCACAAAACGATGCTTTCCAATCACAAGCGAGGTCTCCACGCCCCGCGATAATGCTTACACTTTTAAAGACAACGCGTGTAAACATAAAATATGAATGTGTAAATGTGTTGCTACTAAAACCGCGTGGAAGCAGAGAAAGAGAATTTTAAGTAGAAAATATTGCGACATCTTTTTTAATTATGGGTCATAACAGGTGACACCTACGTGGAAATTAGTCCACACACTCGCCTGGACTTTGACAAATCGTTTGGTACTGGGATGTTAACATATAGAAATATGTGCTTCTTTTTTATCTGTTAGAATTTGGCGTGTGTATGAATGTAAATTGTTAAAATTGTAATATATTCCGCATTGATATTCTTCTATCGTACTTTTGCCGTTTCCTCGTAATTCTTCTACCATTACGTTTGCTTCTTAATTCTTCTTCTACGTTTTAATTCACACAGATGGACGTCGACCGTTTTTTTTTCCGATTAGGTCAACAAAAAAATATACACATTTTAAAACGAATTGTTATCGATTTAGAGTGTCAATAAAATTACAAATATACGCATTTGACGGTTTTGTATTTATTTTTAGTTTTCTTGGAATATACTTTCTTCAACTTGTTCCACACTGAATTAATTCAACTTTGAGGGGGTTCCAGTACTGCCTCTTTTAATGTTTTAATATTCAATGTGGAGTTCCAAAAGCGAGCAAATTAGATGTTGGCAGGTCTTCTCGCTTGAATGGCTAAACGAGTACCTGTCTCATGGCGTCACCCTTATGCGCTCTCAACCTCCAGAAAGGCTTCATGCAAGTTGCATGGCCTCGAGCACCATCCACAACGGCCACGATCTGATCCATTGCAGCCTTAGTTTTAATAAATAATAAGGCGGTTGCGCGAATGTCATTCTGTCCTCTCTGTTGCAGTTCCTTCTTAATTTTCTCAAATTGCTCAGATATTATTGTATTATCTTCATGCATGCTCATTTGATGGTACACCGGATAATGGGCTTTTATCACGAATTAATTTTTGTCACGTGTTTGTAAGGGTTAAAAAAAATCTCTTGAACTGTAAAATATTGTGTGTGTGTGTGTGTGTGTGTGTGTGTGTGTGTGTGTGTGTAGGCCTATGCATCATACCTGAACTGGTTGCGATTGATTATTATTTTTTTTTTTTAACACCCTCTCCCTGCCCAGACATCCCAGTGTGTGCAGGCTGCAACCAGCACATCGTGGACCGCTTCATCCTCAAAGTGCTGGAGCGCCACTGGCACAGCAAGTGCCTGAAATGCGCAGACTGCCACACTCAGCTGGCTGACAAGTGCTTCAGCCGGGGAGACAGCGTCTACTGCAAGGATGACTTCTTCAAGTGAGCACTCGCCCGCACAGTACTGAGTTTAATACTGACCTATTTTATTGGATTCAGTCTGAAATGCTGATACGGTTTTCCCACATGATGATGACACAATTTTACGCAAGGTAGTGAGTAGTCGGCAGAGGTTTTTGCTATTAAATCATTTGATGACGTGACTATGCCAGAACCTCCTTATGTGGATGGGCAACCTCCGGCTCATGGACCAAAAAGTGCCCATTTCTCAAAACAAATGGGACTTAATTGAATTAACTGCTCACAATAGATCACTTGAGCTGTCATCCTGGCTCCGATTCAGTTGCAGCTTATGTTATAGTCTTAATATTGAATCTACGAGACGTGAAGTGATGATCCACCTTGTCCGCACCCGTGTCCTGAAAGGAGATTTGGCACCAAATGCGCGGCGTGTCAGCAGGGCATCCCGCCCACGCAGGTGGTGAGGCGGGCCCAGGACTTCGTTTACCACCTGCACTGCTTCGCCTGCATCGTGTGCAAGCGGCAGCTGGCCACGGGAGACGAGTACTACCTGATGGAGGACAGCCGGCTGGTGTGCAAGGCTGACTACGAGACCGCCAAACAGAGAGGTGTGTGCGTGCGTGTGTATGTGTGTCGTATTGTTTACTACTCCTTTTAATACAATTAAGCCACACGATGCACTCAGCTATAAGAGGCCCAAAAGAGCCACATTAAATTGCGGCGCACTAAATTTCAAGTCCCCATTTTATCTCCCCCATCTGTTTGTTTGAACATGCGCCCAAGTGCTCATCTCAACTTTTCGCCCCCAAAAACACACACGTTTATTTTACTAATGAAAGGGTGCAATTACTTAAGGGAAGGGGGTGGAGGGGGAATAGCCATTTCGAGGATGTTTTGCCAACACATGCGATGCAATTAACAAGACGCCGGGTTTTACTTAATGGGGCATCCCGAGGTCATTTTAACTGTTAAACTTGTCTCAGCGTCACAGTTTGGGCCAACTTGTTTTTATATCATTTATATCTAATTGGTTGCATTTGAAAGAGCAACATACAGCTGAAGGCGTGGAATAACTTACACCTGGCGTGATACCCTCAAAAGGTACGGTGGAAACCCCAGAGTGGAACTTCCAAATTGTCATGTCAGCAAATCCTCAGTTTCTTTCAAGACGCCTTTTGTCCCACTGTCCCGTCCTTTGATTGACTCCCATTGTGTGTCTCCTCCTCTGCCCTTCAGAAGCCGACTCAACTGCAAAAAGGCCCCGAACGACCATTACGGCCAAGCAGCTGGAGACCCTGAAAAACGCCTACAATAATTCTCCCAAGCCGGCCCGCCACGTGCGTGAGCAACTCTCCTCCGAGACGGGCCTGGACATGAGGGTCGTGCAGGTAAGGTTTATTATGATCCATTAGGAAGCCCATCCATTAGTGTCCCGAGTTCATTACAGCGGGACAACGGGCGGCCGAGTCGGCACCGCAGCACTCTGCCCGGCCGAACGCTCGGGTGAATTTACGGTGAGATGGAGCAAAATGAAGTCCACATCAAAGTCAGCGTGGTTTAAGTGCAAGCTCGTTAACAATGGCGAGAGCCAGGCCCACTCTTCTATTGTCGCTCGGGCTAAGGAGCCCCCACGCCGGCGGCCGTATATATTGTTTTATTTGCAAGGACGAACGTGGGGGGACGGAAGCCACTAAAATGCTACTCATTATCCCGTGAAAGGAAAGGAGGCGAGGAGGGTTCAACCCGGGGCGGAATCTCATTAAGGCGCATGCAAAACGCCTTGTTGCGTTTTGCGTGTGCGGTAGTGAAAAAAAAATGGAGATGTTTCACCCTCGTTTTTTTTTTTACTCTTAAAAGCACTTCCGATTTAGATCGCATTGAGAGCCTTTTTTTTTTTTTTTGCTCGTGTCATGATCAGAGCAGCAAAAGTAGCAAGAGGAACTGTAACGAGAGGAGAAGGAGGTTTGTCTGCAGTAACAGTCCTCGGAAATGATGTCAGAGCAACTGACAGAGACTGATTTTGACGCTTTCGTTCTTGTCGCGAAACACTTGAAGAATAATCAAACAGGAACAAGGAGATATTTTGTCTGCAGTAGGAGTAACATATGATCGGACCTCTAAACCTTGTAACTGAGACGCCCGTGCTTTTTTTCTGTTAGTGTAATGTTGAAGGAAAGTTTGGCGCAGCAGAACTTAGGTCTGTGTTAGTAATATGTAATAGGATCGCAAAACGTTCAATCCCATGAAAAGTAAAAATAAACATATCTTCTATATTCACCAAATGCAGAGACGACTGTTGTGAACAAAAAGTCAAGCAGTTTCCTCCGCTGCATGGAAACCATGTCCCGCTCAACTGTCAATTCTCAAACAAAGAAGAGCAGACCCTGGCCATGCATCCCATGAAATATAACGTTAAAAGCCATTTTTTTTTTCCTCCACAGGTTTGGTTCCAGAACCGGCGGGCCAAAGAGAAGAGGCTAAAAAAAGACGCTGGGCGCCAGAGGTGGGGTCAATATTTCAGGAACATGAAGAGGTCGCGTGGTAGCTCCAAGTCAGACAAAGACAGCATCCAAGAGGAAGGCATGGACAGCGACGCCGAGGTGTCCTTCACAGGTACGACTCAATTGCTCAGTTTCACTCCAGGGAAGACGTTGCAAGAACCAAACCACATCTTGTCTTTTCGGGTACCTGAAACAGATGAACCTCCCATGTCTGAGCTCGGCCACAGCAACGGCATGTACGGCAGCAACTCCCCAGCCATGGGGGCCCGCCAAGGGGGCAACAACCACGCCTCCTTCCCTTTGGAGCACGCCGCCTTGCCCTCGCAAGAGCAATTTCACGACATGCGTTCCAACAGCCCCTACGGCCTAGCCCAGTCGCCGGGGTCCCACCCGGCGCTACCTCGGCACCAGCCGCTCATCACCGGCCTTGTCTACCCTGAGTCGGGCCTATCCATCATGACCCAAGGTGGGGGGATAAACCCCGCCGTCAGGGTTTCCATCGGTTCTGCCAACGGCCCAAGCTCGGACCTCTCCACCGGCAGCAGCGGCGGATACCCGGATTTCCCCGCAAGTCCCGCCTCCTGGTTGGACGAAGTCGACCACGGACAGTTCTGATCGCTTGATTCTAAGAAACGGGACTTACTTTGATGATCTTGGTTTTTTTTTTGTCTTCTGTTTGAACTATGGACTCAATAAATAAGACTTGGTTTGTATGGCAGACCGGTGGGAACTTGGGAACTTGGAAATCAGCAGGATCTCATCATCACTTTCGTTTGGATGGAGGAGAAAAATCCTTCGTAAAAAGCACTTGGCCTGATATTGTATGTAGTGTTCATTTCCAGGTATCGATGTCTTAGGGACAATATGAAGACTGAGAATTAAGCATCTCTTGACTCCTCCTACTGCTTTTAAGTTGTTGTTGTCTGCAGTGCGTTCAGGTGCAAAAGTCTGTAAACGTCTGGTTGTTGCCAAATGTCA